AACATTCAGCATGCAAATTATTCCAGCAAATAAGCCTCATCTCATCATAGTGCTGGCAACTAACATAAGTATAATTAATCCGAAGTAAATAAGTACTTTCCTTTAAGAGATATTTAACGTAACTACAAAGTTTTTTTGTGGTACAGGCGACAGTCTGTGCAACTTCTTTAGGTAATACCATTAAGGCTATCAGATTCGAAACATATGTAAAAATATAGTGGAAGTCTCTCTGGTATATGTAGTGGAGTACACCACAGGCGGCGAACACGCGGCGATCGTCTGTTGCACGCGACAGACGGTCAGAGAACCCCGGGCCTAAATATCTCCCGGACCCACCCCGCCATTCCCTTCGGAGCGGTGGCAGGAAGGGGACACCGTGGTACCAACACACGAACAGGCCCTCTATAAGTCGTAGATGACCTCGGATTGCCTGGTTTGAAAGTGGAGCCTGGAAAATTTGAAAAATAAATAATTTACCATACGTGTAGTTTACCATAAGTAGTAATATTAAAAAGTATTCTAAATTCACACAAAGCGTTTCATACTAACAATAATAGGTAGGACACAATGAACTAAACTATTATAAATTATAGTGTTATGACGTGTAGTCAGCATAATCATCGTGTTGTCAGCCATGACATACAAAAAACAAGAAATCATTGAAATTGCATTATATGACGTAATATGCTGATAAGGCTGTTAACAAGTGTGCACTTACACTAGAAAAAAGCATTTTCAATTATTTTTACATTTATTACTATTTGTTTAAAATTTGATTACACACTTCTGTAAAACTTTGTATATAGAGAACTTATAAACTGTCAACTACACATGTGTACGATTATATGTTATACAAATGACACTATTTTACGCGCACGGATGGCGTAGTGGTTTTAGCGGTCACTTCACCGCTCCCTACTGCGCTGAGTAGTGTAAGTTCGATGCCCACATGGAACATCACTTGGTGTGATGCATAAATTGTTGCTCTGAGTCTGGGTGTTCCTAGTGTCCGTTTCATGTGTGTGTTGTAAGTCCCCCGCGACACAGGATAATATACACAGGTGGTCTGAAAAATTTCCGCCCTCAACACGAAGATGGCAACACTCGTGAATAAAAGCTAGTGAATTTCGTTGTTCATCTGTTTACAGTTACTCGCACAAAGTTTCAGCCAATTTGGATGCGCAGTTGTTATTTAACAGTCGTTTGAGTGAATTGATGTGAATGTTTTATGAAAACGGACAAAATCGAGTATCGAGCTGTCATGAAATATTTGTTTTTAAATGGCAATAGGTACGCCTACGCAAATCAAAGATGAGTTGGATTCTGTGTATGGGGACTCTGCACCATCATTTACCACAGTGAAATTTTGGCAGCTGAATTATAAACGTGGCTGTAAGAGCTTGGGAGACGATGAACGTTCGGACGTCCAAAAACTGCAACTACCGACGAAAACATCGCCAAAGTTCACCGTTTTTTCGGCTATTTTTTGGGATAGACATGGAGTTATTTTAATCGATTATCTCCAAAAAGGAAAGACCATTACAGGAGCATACTATGCATAATTCCTTGACAAGCTGAAGGCACATTTGCAAAAAAGAAAATCCTGTTTCACCAAGACAACGCACCGTCGCACACCTTAGCTGTTGCCATGGCGAAAATTCACGAATTACGGTTTGAACGGCTTGACCATTCACCTTACTTACCAGATCTAGCCCCAAGCGAAAAATTGCGCTCGGAGGACAGAGATTTTCGTCAAATGAAGAGGTGAACAATTATTTTTCAGAGAAAAACGCCGAGTACTATTTGGACCGGTTACAGAGATGGGAGCATCGCTGGGAGAATTGTGTATAGTTACAAGGAGACTATGTTAAAAATTAAAAAAATTAAACTGGAAAAAGGTTTCTATCTTTGTTAGGTCGGCAACTTTTCAGACCACCCTATTGTTCCTATTGCGGGTTGTCTTAAAAAAAATAGAAAATAAAATTACTACATTTCTAATCACGCCTTTCACAATTCAACTTGAGACAAAAATAAAAATTAAAATCAAGATTATAATTAAAATTCGAATGAATCAAACCGACACTATAACAAAAGAGTGCTAACCAGATAAGGTTATTATTTGTTTTTGATAAAGAATAACATTACAGCTCAGTCAACAATACAATGCAGTCATTCATTTTTTGTGTGAACTGGTTGATGATGCACTTATAAAACTTACTAATGTCTGTCTCACTGTCTGTCTGTAATCACTGGAGCCATTCAAAATTTTGCATTATCTGGGTATAAGTGAGTTAGTGCCTGACATCGTTCTCCTTAATGGTGGACACAGCGGTGTAATACTGTTTCGAGGATATCTAGACGGAGCCCTGAATCTTATGAGACTCAGTAAATCTGAACAATCGATTAGGTTTCTCACGATTTTAAATAAATATAATGCATCAAACACGTCTCTGCGCACCGACAGTGGGTGCATCCTAAAACACTGCAGTTGGTTGCTATAAGTGGTCAGATGTTTACCTTTGCCTGAAGATAATGTAAGGTATGACAGAAAGCGCTTTTGAACGCGCTCTATGCGTAACGTGTGCACGGCATAGTGGGGTCTCCACACAACACAACAGTATTCCAAGATACTCCTCACGAGACTATTGTATAACATAATTTTTGTGTTGCTTTTGAACTCTCTAGTATTCCTCATAACAAAGCCTAACATTTTAGACGCTCTTTTTACTATATTATCGATCTGAGGTACAAAAGTAACTTCACTATCGAAAAGAACGCCAAGATCTTTAATAGTTTTCACTTTCTGTATCTTTAGGTTATTTATAAAGTATTCTGACTTAAGGGGGTGAGGTCTCCTAGTGAATTTTAGGTGATAACATTTTTCAGTGTTTAGTTGCATTTTGTTATACCTACACCAATTAATGAGTCTGTTTAGATCGTCTTGCAGTAGTTCGGTATCACTAGGGCAATCAATTCTTCTGGCAAACTTTAAGTCATCGGCGTAGAGAAAACACTCAGAAAATTGAAAACAGTTAGGGATGTCGTTAATAAATAAGTTAAAAAGTATGGGAGCTAGATGTGAACCTTGAGGGGCTCCGGAAGTTATGCCACGACCTGTAGATTGAAAACCGTTCACAACAACAAAGAATTCTCTCCCCGTCAGATACGATTTCATCCATTCGAGCAAGGGTCCTGTGATACCATAAGCTGACAGTTTATGTAACAGTATCTTGTGCGAGATCTTGTCGAATGCCTTGCTAAAATCAGTATAAATGACGTCATACTGTTTATTAACATCCATAGCCTGTACCAGCGATTCCGTAAACGTTGATAGGTTAGTGGCTGTGGACCTAGACGCAACGAAACCATGCTGTCGTTCACTAATGTACAGTCTCAGATGCCGCTGGATGGAAGGACATACCATAGCCTCAAAGATTTTAGCAAAGGTCGACAGAATAGAAATAGGCCTATAATTAGATATTGCCTCTCTTTTATCCGACTTATATACTGGCACTACTTTGGCTTTTTTCCACTCTCGTGGGAACGTGCCTGTACACAGCGACGTGTTATATATACGTAGAAGCGGGGAAGTCAGGGCAGATGCACAGGCAGATATGAAAATCGGTGGGATACCATTAGGACCCGCCCCTTTTCTAATATTAACAGTTTGCAGTTTCTTAAGTAAGCTGTCATAGTCAAAAGTTGGGTAGGTTAAGCACAGGCTGTTACTATTCAAAGAGTTAAAAATTCAGATTCGCAGTTAAACTCTTCGTCGTCGTCTTGAGTATAAACATATGAAAAATAATTCGCAAAAAGATCACAGATGGTTGGACCATCGGATGTTGTACTCTTTCCATCGGTTATAGACAACGGGTATACACTGGATCCTAAACGTTTTGCTTTTATGTGCGTCCAAAAGAGCTTAGGATTATCCTTGATTTTGCCTTCCATATCTTTCATATAACTGGAATACTGAGTTTTAGCAAGGATTCGACATCTCGTAGTAATTAGCTTTAGTTCTATTCCATCTCTTGGGTTTTTTATATTTCTTGAAGCGTACTCTAATTCTATTTTTTTCCTTAAGAGCTCTGATAATGTTATGTCTGTCTGTATTAAACCATGGGGGAAAAGGGCTGTTTAATGGTTTACAGAATGGCACATATTCATAAATGGCCGTATTTAAAGTTTTGTAAAAAATCTTTAACATGTCATTCACATCTCTTTCTGGAGCGAGTAGTTGATACCAGTTTTGATTATTTAAGTAATTGTTAATTTTCTCATAGTCCGCTTTAAAGAAGTTCGGTCTCTTACTTAATTTATTATAAGAGAAATAATTTTGTTTTAACAAAAATATAGTTACATCTAAAGGGGGATGTAGTTTGTCGACAACAGTGAAGGGGGAGTTAGATTCATCCACTGAACAAGAATGTACTGTCGACAGAACTAGGTCCAAAATACGTCCCGAACAATTTTTTATTTTATTGTATTGAATAAGTTTTTATTGTGTGGGAAACGTTATTGGCACCTATCTGCCAGTCTATCTTAGCCAAATTAAAATCCCCGATTATACAAACAGGCATGGTTGTGGTATTAAATACATTATTACAATGCTCAATAAAATGGTCAAGTCTTGATACACATAGTGGTGGTGGCAGGTAAACACTTGTTGACGGCATTGTTAGCGAAACAATGTTAAAATTGTAACAGTCTTTCTAAAATCACTAAAGCATTTTTCCAATTGTTTATACCTATACGAACTTTTATGTTACTAAAAAGAATAATAAGGTATTGACTGTTAACATTACCTAGTAAAAATATAAATCTTTATGTCATGTCAAGTGTCAATATTATCAAACTCAGTTGGATTCTGCTCTATCAAACAATTACCTGGAGGCTTCATTAAATTAATTTGAAAAATTAAAAAAATTCCCGAATTTTGTCATAAAAATGTTAGCTCGTGAATTCCTTTGAGTGTTTACAAAGCTTGTGGTGTAAAATAGGTTCTGCAAGTCGCGGCGTTGGTGTTTAGTGGGCAGCGTGTTGGCGGCGCTGTTCGCGGGCGCGCTGGTGGCCGTGCTGGTACTGCAGCCGTGGACCGGCCCTGACCACCCGCGTTTCCCGCGTGCTACCGTCGTCGCCAATGGCCATGAATGTGCTTCAATTGGACGGTACGTCATAGTTATGATAATAATTGTTTTAAACCTTTGATCATATGTTTATATACCATAGATATTTAAAAGTGACGAGTGTAAAAGAAATGGCACCAACTAGTCAGTGCTGATATGAACTTGTAACTTGTACTGCTATCACTTGGCTGTTTTAGACTCTTATTACATGGGCTGAAAAGTCCCGGACCTAACACATAAATGGCGCTAGTTTTATTGCAGTCACCTTTTTTCAGTTAATACTAACCTTCAAAAGACAGCTGTTAGAATTTCATGATATTCTATTCATTAGTTTGTGAGTTATTGTGCTAAGAGTGACGCTACTTTTGTTATTTTCAAAACAATGGATCAAAAACAATTTCGTGTTTTAATTTTACACTGCTTCTTGATGGGAAAATATACCGTTCAAGCGAAGCAATGGCTTGGAAAGTGTTATGGGGACTCCGCTCCATCAGAAACAACAATAAAACGTTGTTTGCTGACTTCAAACGTGGTCGTAGAGACACCGATGATGCAGAACGTAGTGGACGTCCAAATGAGGCGGTAACACCAGAAAACATAAAAAAAAACCACAAAATCGTTTTGAATGATCGAAAATTGAAGTTGCGTGAGTTAGCTAACATCGTAAAGATATCAAAAGAACGTGTTGGCTTTACATTGCATGAGCATTTGACTATGAGAAAGCTCTGTTCAAAGTGGGTGCCGCGTTTACTCACTGTTGACCAAAAACGAGAACGTGTTGATGATTCTGAGCAGTGTTTGGCCATGTTTAAACGTAACAAACCGGAATTTTTGCGTCGATATGTGACAATGGATGAAACATGGATCCATCACTTTACTCCGGAATCAAAACGATCGTCATCTGAGTGGACAGCAACTGGTGAACCTCGTCCAAAGCGCCCGAAAGCACAACAATCGGCTGGAAAGGTAATGGCCTCGGTATTTTGGGATGTGCGTGGTTTAATATTCATCGACTATCTTGAGAAAGGAAATACCATTAACAGTGAATATTATATAGCGTTATTGGAGCGTTTGAAGGCCGAAATTGCAAAGAAACGACCGCATATGGCAAACAAAATTTTTTTTTCATCAAGACAACGCACCGTGTCACAAGTCAATCAAAAGAATGGCAAAACTGCATGAATTGAACTTCGTATTGCTCCCACATCCACCGTATTCGCCAGATTTGGCTCCCAGCGACTATTGGCTGTTCGCAGACCTGAAAAAAATCCTTGCCGGTAAGAAATTTCGCACGAATGAAGAGGTTATCGCTGAAACTGAGGCCTATTTTGAGGCAAAAGATAAATCGTTCTACAAAAGTGGTATTGAAATGTTAGAGCGGCGCTGGAATGATCACGTTGCTCTTGATGGAGATTACGTTGATGATTAAAGCTAATTTTGGACCAAAAAAACTGTGTTTTCTTTGTTAGGCCCGGGACTTTTCAGCCCATGTGTTAGTTAGCTCTTCAGTACTAAAATAGAAGTGAAACCGAAAAATGCTAAACCATGCAATGTATGCTTTAAAAATGTAAAGAAGTAATTAATCTGCATACTTTCGATAAATATAATATTCTTCAGATGACTTATTTTTTATATAATAATGTAACAAACGATAACTGAAAAAGTTATTTCTTTTAGAATACGCAGCTTGAGCATCTGTCCTTTTTACTCTCTCGAGTGTGCGTCTGTAATACATAATACTACGTAACATATCCATCTTTCTTTTAACGTTGCTAATAATGATATTGCTCATTGATAAAAGTAATTACTGCAATTAATTTAAAATTTATAATATATTTTTGTAGTTTAGTAACTTAATTTTCTACTAAGTATTTAAAGTTTACCTATTCCCCCATTTTACAAAGACATAACTTTCTTCTCATTCATCACAGGATTGCTTGCCCCTTCTGTTATAGTTTGAAACTAGATGGCCTTGTGTATCAGATCTCCGAAATGTAGATATGAAACAATACGGTGTTCCTTCAGACGCAGCATTCTTATAACTGACCCGTTTGTAAGTCAGAGAGAAAATCTGAGGAAATATACAATACGTAATAAACCAAACATAATCAAATAGATAATAATACATAACCAAGTAATAACTTTCTAATTTATCAATTAAAGTTTGCCACTCAATTGTATTTATTGTATTCTAGGGAAATCTTGGATAGAAATGGTTCAGCAGTAGACGCAGCGATAGCCACTCTCTTCTGTGAGGGGATAGCTTGTGCACAATGCATGGGACTCGGCGGAGGCTTTCTAGCCACAGTGTACGACGCGTCCACAGGCCAGGTGCGAGTCATGAACGCGCGAGAGAGAGCACCTGCCGCCACCCAAGAGAACATGTACGCCAACGCTTCATCCACCGTGGGAGGCCTCGCCGTCGCCGTGCCCGGAGAACTTCGTGGATACGGAGCTCTTCATCGAGCTTATGGACGACTGCCCTGGCGCGAACTCGTCGCACCGACGGCCGACCTCAGCCGACGCGGTCATCTGGTCAACGCTTACATGGCTCGGGCCCTCAAGTCCTACAGCGACAGAATCAAGGCCGAGCCATCAATGCGGTGAGTTTGATCCTTAGGGTGAACTTAGGTTGAGCGGATAGCAGAATAACTGCCAAATTCTAATCCGACATTCATTTAAACATTATTATAACAATCTGTAAAAATATTTGAAGGAAACGTTTTAAATGAATATTTAATTCAAAAAAAAAGTGGACGGTTACTCCTACCACAAAAAGATTATCATATCTTCCTTTTTAAATTATATAGGAAGTTTATATTAATAATAAATACAATAAAATGTAACACGATCTAGGGAGCTCTACGTGAACGAGGCGACGGGCGAGGTGTGGAACGAGGGCGACTATATCAGAGAACCAATATTGGCCCGAACATTGGACATTATCGCCGAGGAGGGCCCCGAGGCGATACACAATGGTTCGCTTACGGCGCGGCTCGTACAAGATATCCAGAGTCACGGTGGAATCATTACAGAAGACGACCTCAGGAACTTCAAGTAAGTATGACAATAACACTTGTTCTTCAGACTGTTTAGAGGCCTAAATTTAACAACAATTTAGTTTATTTTATTTTAGGTAAGTACTTACTAAATGTCTCTTGAATAACTATTTCACAGTTACAATCACACAACTAAGTTTAATCAGGGACGATGAAAATGTGCTACTGCAATGGTTTTGGTTTATACAAAATTGTTCGATTTTTTTTTCACATTATATCCAAAAGAGCTATCATCAAAACGCCAACAAAAGGATGCATGCAGTTCTCGCTACACATCATCATAGGAAGAAATAAATTTCTATATTCCATTCCAGTATACTTATATTTTATAATCTTTCTCTTCTCACTGTAGGGTGGAATGGCAAGACCCTATCGAAGTGCCAATAACAGACGATTACACGTTGTATTCCGTCCCTCTGCCGGGCTCCGGGTCGGTACTGGCCTTCATTCTGAACATGCTGCGAGACTGGGTAGGAGATGGTACAGTAGCAACCACAGGATCCACCCTCTACTGGCACCGCGTCGTCGAAACCTTCAAGTACGCGTATGCAAAACGAACAGGCCTCGGCGACCCTTCACGCTCTAACCTTAACTACGATATACGAGAGGTACTTACCTTGTTTTTATTTTACTAAACAATATTTTACTTACGAAAATTTTCAATCAAATAGCTTCAACCTGAAAATAATATATCTATTGATCAACATCTCCGTATGTCTCTTAAACATGTCTATTTTGCGTTATGCACTGCGATGTGCAATCCTTTATACTACTGCAATATTTATATTAACCTCTCTTACCAAGTAACTAGTACATTAGAAATATACCAAGAGAACTACATGGTATTTATGTATTCGTTTATTTTACATAAGTAAATTACAGGTAATATTTTTATAATACAATTTCAATCTAACTTTGTAGGTGAACGTCTTACTGCAAAGCGTACCTTCAATTTATGTATCTAGTAGGTAATAGATAAGAGCTACACGTAAAAATGACTGATAAAAAACTCAAAGTGTCTAATTATGCACTTAACAACTCTTCATATGAATAAGATGTTTGTTGAATCATTTTTTATCAATAAGTTTACTGGTCGAATCGTTCTTTAAAGCTAGCCTAGATTAATTAATAGTTGGGTCCGGATGTCTTAATAACAGTTGTTCCCGGATCCCTCCTATTACAGGCCCAGAGTGGTACACCGTGTGGTATTAGTCGATCCGATTCCGACACAATACCCCGCCCAAAACCATCCCGGTGTGACGGCCCGAGGGGATTAATTAATAGTTAATACTATTCTATTAACTATAATAAGAATATAAGTTAAATATGTGCAATGCAGTGCCCTCATCTCCGCTTGATCACGGTTCAGAAAATAATTTATACATTAAATATATTAGCTCATTAAATATTTATCTATCAAATAAACTAAAGGATTCTTCCGATATTGTGACAATGCTATGAGTCAGGGCTGTTCTGCCACATTCGGCACTGAGAACGTGGACTGTTCTCGACTCTAGAAGAAAAGGTGTGTATTGGTCGTAATAAACGATACGTATCCATCAATGTGATGTTGCGGCGCTATTGCTGACCTGGTTTATGACATGATTCACTATGAACAGAACAGCTTAAAGAGCTCTTCAACTGCTGTCTTCTGTATGATAAAAGTTAATCGGTAGCTCTGATTCGAAGGTCAGAATTTTGTAATTGCCTCAATGTTTCGTTTCAGTTGGAGCGTAATCTTTCTAACGCTGCCTGGGCCAGAGCATTCCGAGCCCGCGTAAACGATACGAGAACATATTCGGACTGGGAGCACTACGGAGCATCATTCCAAGGAGCTGACGACCACGGAACTGCCCACATCGTGGTCGTCGCCCCCGACGGCAGCGTCGTTTCCGCCACTAGCACCGTTAATTATATGTACCTGATTACTTATTATAATATACTAGCTGTACACTGCCACGCTTTATTGTATTGCATTGATGAGAAATGAGGGTCAAACGTGTCACGAAGTACATGTAAAAACAATTTTTGAAGAATTTCTTATTATATCGTGTCAAAATTTGATCTCAATCGGTGCTGGTATTTTTGGGTCCTTGAAGCGTACACAAACAATGTAACATTTAAATATATAGAAATTACTATAATTCACAATCTATCATTTTTGCTTAGTACTATAAAGTCAGAACTGTAGAAATTACCTTAACTATTCTATCCCTTTGTACTTTTCTTATATTTCTAAAAATTTTGTTGAAAATATTGGTATTAGAGGTGAACGTTTATTACTTAATATAAATTCGACTGACTAGACGAAAAAGCAGCAATATGTATGGTAGTATTAGAAGTTAAGCAAGTGTGGTTCTGTGTCAAGGGCAGCAACTGGTACTTTCCTTAATGCACTTTTTTGTATTTAAATTTCATTATCTACGAATCTACGTTATAATGATGAAGATAAATACATTGAGGAGTTTATCACGGGCCTCCATGGACGTTATCGTAAAATAATATTATGTACTCTTGTCTCACTTATCTTCATTGACATCAGCACCCGTATGAGTATTGATGTTGAGATATTTTAACAATTATTGCATGATGTTCTTCTAATAGATCTGGATTTGGATTTACAGTTGGGGTTCTCAGAGGCGATCGCAAAGCTTGGGCTTTCTGTTGAACAACGAGATGGATGACTTTGCCATACCAAACCGTGAGTCAGCGTACGGTTTGCCTCCATCTCCAGCGAACTATTTGTCGCCGGGACTTCAGCCGCTGAGCTCTATGGTACCGTGTATTGTGAGGTCGAGATCAGGCAGAGTCGACCTGATCCTTGGGGCTGCTGGAGGAACAAAGATAACCACCCAAGTGGCCCTGGTAAGTAAATAAGTTCATTCATTGTTTACCGTTATTGTGTTATTCTCCTCATTTTGGTCATATTTTTTACGCCTAGTAGTACATCTTATACAGTTATCGTGATGAACATGAGTTAATCTAATATACGTAGTGTTATTCTCTAAAGTTCTAATTTCAGAATAGTATGTATGCATTGCAGTTTAAAAGTGCCCACTAACTTGAAAATATTTTCTCGTTATTTCCAGTTGACAAGGCACACAATATTGGAGGGCCAAGATATATTGGACACAATTCAAAGGCCGCGACTACATCATCAACTGTTACCTATGGAAGTGCAACATGAGGCTGACTTTGATCCGGTATGACACTAAAATATATTGTTCGGGGCATTACTAATATTGTTGTTAGTCCGAATATGTTGTTTTGTTAATGTTGATAGAAAAACGAACGAACAAACGGACGGACGGGCGATGGATAGATTTTCAATTTTTTTAGATGATTTACTCGATAGTTACGTTTTCAATCTGGACCAGGGATTCCCAAAATATTTTGGGCTAGAGACCCCTTTTCTAAAATGAACTGATACCTTAATCATTGAGTACAACTATGATACTGCCTACTAAAATATTAGTCATTCTTAAAACAAGTTGGTACGCGTACCACAACTAATACAGTATATTGAAAGTTTGAAATGAGAACTTGTGTTAATTAATAGAGACCGATTTTTAGAGCTCGATATTGACCACTTTGGGAATCTCTGATCTAGACCATGTTGTTGGGCGAAAGTGTAAGTGCAATGGTGTTATGAAATGTTTCGCGAGAGTAAAAGGGCAGTTGCGCAAGATACGATATCGCTTTTTAAAGGACATTTTAATATTATTTTAGTATTAAAGCCAAAAAACCTTTGTAGCCAAGGTCCTGACTTTGATCATGAAGATCATCTCCTATCTCCCAAAACGTCTCTTACGGGAAATGTTTAGCCGTAAAAGACGTTTTTCAAAACAGGAGATTAACAATTTCTTATCGAGCAATGACAACATTGATTGGTAGGACCGATGAATACAGTAAACCGACAATACAGAAGAATCAGGAGCCTTTATACGGTTTCCAAAATCCACATACTCGACTTGTGTCAGCATTAAAAAAATACTTATAATGGAAGAGGTGAGTCAAGTAGATATTTTTTAGGAAAAATCTATTGAGATATAAAGTATATTAAACAAAACTCGCCAATGGATTATGCTAGATTTTGTAAAAAAAGAGTTATAACAATGAATAATTAAAATTTAAATACTACACTCTAAATGCATCAGAAACCCAAACAAGATACATTTTTTGGATATACGGACTATTGAGACCGTACTACATGCATGATTGTAGCCACCAATTACTGTTTCTTGACATTTTATGTAATCGTCGTCGGAAAGTAATAAACATCAAGTCATGACAATGTGGTAAGGTAATTGTTGTTACAGTCTGAACATAGTCATAGTTACATACCTACCAATAAACATAGCAGGTCAAGTGCGGTGATATTATTATGTAAGTACAACTGACCTTGCTAATAAACACTTCTTTTATCTGTGTCATAAATGATCAACATTATATACTGTACAGGTATTACAATATGGAAATAAAATTTTAGCACCTCTTGTATTACGTCGTAGATATATATGATAGATAGATTCAAATGAATTTTATTTAATAGCGCACGAAGTGTTCCACGTTTTAATTGTTACACCTACCAACAACTTTTATCTCTTTAAGTTTACTTCGAGTACAATTCTTTATCTGCTTGAATATAATTTTAATTTCCGTACGATGCGCTGTCTAACCTTCGTTTTCGTAGATCAGTAGTGATTATCCGTTTTTTTTAATTCTTACGTGTTAAACAAAAGCTTGGGCAGGTGACTTGTTGTTAACAAATAAGGAAATTAAAAAACATCTCACGTGATTAAGGAAACTGGTGCAAGAAGTATTAGGTTTAATGTTACATTATAACTTTGTTATAATTTCAGTGTTAAATTTTTTACTTGTTATTAAAAACTTTACTGTGTTTACTTTACTCGACGTCGATTAAAAAGCGCTGCAGTCACGTTTTTGTTTAGTTCTTGTTATAGTGATAAAGAAATATTCATAAAAGTAAACACAAACTTTTAACAGTCTGCGTATAAAGGTTCATTTGATACGTATTCTGCTTGGGAGCCAGCTTTAACACCGACAATAGAAATATGTAATCTTCAATAAGTATTACAACTGCCTGCATACGATTTTCTTTGGAGGACCCGGACCATGCTATTTCAGGTCCAACTGGGTGGTCCAAGTGGGGACTGCCACCACTCTCTGGCAGCCTGCCGCCCCGTCGACGGGTAATATCGCTGCCGACGCGACGTCCTCTACGCCCGGGATCGGCCCTCTTCCGATCCCGTTCAGCGGTCTCTTTCTAGAGCATTATAGCTTCACAGAAAGAGACTACTACGCCCCAGCCCTGCTTACCCTCTCCTCCCTCGATCGATTGACGTGTCCCCAGGTCTCGTCCGATTTGTTCGACCAGTACCTAGCGCTCTGACGCCCACGCGGGGCACTCTTGAAGCGAATGCTATGGGGAGACCTCCCTCCCTACATACCCAAGCTTTGATTTATGACATTGAGCCCTATGATAAGCAGATGTAAGAGCGGCGGGTCATTGCAAAGAATTTTCATGAATAAAACCGTATATATATAAAGAAAAAATCGATGTCTCTGGATTAAATGAGCCCAATTTAATCCAGAGACATCGATTTTTTCTTTCGTTACAAAAACATAACATAGATTTCAGTATTAAATTTTCTTTTCTACTCCACAGTCAATAATAGCATCTCTACGAATAAAGGGTCATGCAACTACAGAGCTGGGACCGACCGCCGGCTTCGCTGCCATGGTAGCTGCCGCCCGAGACTCTTCAGGTTTTTTGGTACCTGCGACAGATCACAGACGACCTGGCAGTATAGACGGATTCTAAATTGACTAGCATGTAGAGAATTATTAATTTTCTTTGCATAAAATACGGTATTACAGTACTTAGTATATTCTTTAGTTTGGCCCGTATAGCAGCTACTCTGGGCAATTACTGAATCCAATATCCTTTGTTATTGTGCTAACATGTTAACTTCGTTGGAGGTTTAGAATATTTGGAAGAAATATAGGTTTATAGTGGCCGGATTCAGCAAGAGCGAGAAGTAGTTACCCATACTCAAATTTAGAAAACACACTTACAAACATAACTTACTAGTAATTTGGCTTACCGCTATTAAAAGTTACTACTTATGCACTTTAAAAAATAACACAACATCAACAGCAAAAATTTTTATGCTAAAACTGGTAGTAAAATATTTAAATAACGACATTTAGACAATCTACATTGTAAGTAATTCAGTAAAATTAATTACTTGTGTTAAATAGACCATCTACTTACGTCTATTGGATCTGCGCTCGCTCGATATGCAGGCTTGTGTTAAATTGACTGAAACTCGATAATATACTTCACACGGTTGGTAACTGACCCTGTCGTATCTCAACTATTTAATGTTGTAATAAGTAGTCAAATAGAAATCAATTGTGATATTACTTACTAATATTTTACAGAAGAGATTATTCTGCTTTTAAGTGTTATGTTATTTGTATTTAAGTTACTGTGATGTTTAATAGTATTATTCGAGAAGTAAATGGTTTTGATGGTACAACAGTCTAAGCTATTATTTTACATTTCCTTACTTCAATCCGAGAGTTGATAGGTTTATTAATAATACGTTAGGGTAATCCCTATTTGCACATGAAAACGTAACGCCGTGGTCGCGTTTCAAGAGGTTTTTGTAGTGCAGAAACTGTCGCCCGGCTTATGTAACCTATCCAATGCATGCATCTTGCTAGTAAAAATAATAAAAAGACAAAGGTAAAAAAATATTACGATATAAAATTTTAATCAATTTTTATTGAGTATGTGATGGATTTGCAGAAAGTTCAAAATTAAAAAAAAATGTGAAGCTAAACCTAAAAGTCGTAGCAATCATCAGAAACAATTAGTGATAACACAGCTCATTACACTATCAGTAGAAGACATATCGGGTGGAGTCTAGCGAATAGCAGAAAGCCTCGATATTTATAGGGCTCATTATTCTTAGACGATTCACAAAAATTAACGAAAAATATGTAGTGGTTTTGAAACGGGACAACTTTTTTGGTTTTATAGTTTGCAACATCTGTAAATGCAGTCATAACACAATGACCTCAGGCATCAAGCGGTCAGCTGTATACGCGGTGTGGTGACATCACACTACGCTACTGCACCTACACGTTATTGCCTAATCGGCAGGTTGTATAAAGAAGCAAAATCCCTCCAAAGGCTAACAGTTTTAAAATCCTTCAGGCATGTGATTATTATCTATTTCTATCCTTCAGGCACGTGTCGTATCTATTGTCGATACAAAGAAGAATTTTGTAAAGACCTAGGTTTTAAGCTGATAATTTACAACTCAATATTCAATTTGTACAAAGGCGGTTTATCTTCTTATCATAGATTCGGGCTAAACTTAATTTGGCGCCACTATGGTAGATAAAATATTTTTAAGACATTTCAGGGCAAACGAGAAGGCGGTTTACCTTACTGGTATCTATGGCATGCGACTGTATATGCAGTACAATGCTATTTTTTCACCTTATATGTATAGGCACGAATTGCATTTTTTTTTAATAACGGTAAAAATTATTACACTTGAAACTCAATTTTATTTATTCCCTTGTTTTTACTTTCAGAACGTAACGTTTCAGAAGGTATATTTTTATCAAATTTATATTAATCAATTAATTAGGTAGTGAAAAATTAAAAAAATTGAAAATACCCACGACGGCTAAAACGTAATCAAAAAAGGCTAAAATAATTGAAATAAACCCCGACTTAATCAGACTATGTAACGAAAGATACTCGTAATAAACGTGAATAGCTTTTCATAAAAGCGCGGTCATATAAAGAATGGAGTATCAGTCTTCATAGAACTTCCTTACGTGCCTATTTGCTTCTCGCAGATATACTTAGATGTGGCAATAATAAATAACATATTCAACTATAATTGTCGGCAAACAACTTGAACATTGGGAGACGTGGGGGAAAATTTGCGCATGTACACTTGCGAGCAAAGAAATAGTACCCAAATATATTTATTAATGTAATTGTACAACTCTCTTTTTTGTATGTATTATATTTCTTTGACTGCGTAAAAACATATTCATTTAATTACTTTATTGAATATCCAAAATAAAATATTAGACATTAAATTAAGTAAAAATAAACATTTCTTGTTAAAAATGACAAACTATTTTTGGGCTGCTATGTAGGAGAAAATCACCTTTGGTTTGATAAATCCATTTTCTTAATCTTAAAATTTACTCTTGAGGTAATCACGATATTCCTACAATTAGCTCTAAACTAGCAGAAGCAGAACTGGTCCTAGGCATAGGTTCAGTGTGTAGTGTATAGTTCGTGACATACTGTATATAAAAAAAAAACAACGGAACAATGCACTCGAGTGTACTCGGTAGTCAAATAAAAAACGGCCTAAAATACGTTTCTGCTCATTCAAGGACATTGTTCAAGATGTTAGCCGGTAACTATACCTTTGAACTTAATAAATAACCAAAGAATATCCACCGAGCTTCCATGTAATGAACGAAAGTTTACAGTGTAATAGTAATGTGAATTTTGAAGACGTTTGAGGACGGCATAATGTAACAGGATATCTTCATTTTAGTTGAAATTTGAAATATATGGTAATTTATTAAGTTCATAGATTGTAGGGTAGTTTTCCTAACATTACTGATAGGATAGGTTGCTAGTTTGATTAATGAGTAGACAACTTTACTGAATGATGATTTTATTGCTACTAAATTATGTACAAAAATTAAGTATGTAACGTTAGTGCCTATGCAATACGAGTGCAACAAATTTCTGCGGGCTCGCCACAAACTGGCAAAACTACTACTTCTCTAAAAATGAAGAAATAACAAAAATTACAAGAAAACAATTCGAATGTGAGTATTGGATATCTTGGGCTTAAAACAGATTACGACAATCGACCAGCAGATGGCGACACCAGTGACATGCACATTCAACAACAAAATATGTCAGAATTACCAGCATCTGAAGGGGTTCCAGATACTAAAAATGCACCAGGATGTGACGTTTGCGTACAGGTAACGACAATGTATAATTCTAGTCACAATCCACCACAGAATGACACCACAGAAGTTAAGTTATTGGAGAACAACAATGTATGGGTCTTTGTAAAAAACTAACAATTTCGAGGGATACAAATAACTACGAAACATACAAAATATTTTCCTTTATAAAACCGTTTGCCAAATGTAATGGGTCCCTGAAACCATGCTATAGCTTGGAAATATCAAAAAAAGATTGGGTAATATTATAATAATAATAATAATAACAAGATATAGATATTGTACAGATCTCATAGCAAGTAATCACGAAGAAGCATATGGAACAGTACATCGGCTCTATCTATCTGACCACGACACAGCGCAAGTTTTAGAATTTCCAGGAATGTGTGAGAAAGTCTCAAGTTGAATTGATAATAATAATTCTAAATAAAGTAAAATTAAATAGACTTCTAAAGTTCACATGTAAAACTTACAAAAATTGTCATTATTTGGATATATCTAATTTAAATGAACATTACTATAACTATCACTACTTACAGGGTCATATATGCAGGATAATTAGTCTAACCGTAGATACAACAGACTATAAAACTAAATATATTCCTTCTAGCACAAATAAAATAAAACCCAATTATCTTTCTAACATTAACCGTAAGTTACTTAACGGTGCCCCTTCGGGTACAAGAAATGTGAAAGGGACTATCCCATATTATTTTCCTATTATTCAACGTAATTCAACTAGAACTTCTAAAGTATTTAACGATGAGAGTTTTTTTATGCTTAAGCCAAGGGAATTAAGGGGGGATAAAATAAGACTACTCCATCAAAACATTGCAGGTATTCTAAATAAAGTTGACAATATAGAAGTCTCTAATTGAACTTTCCAAAAATTCCTATCCAATACAGATTTTATGTTTTAGTGAGACTTTTATAAAAAGAGGGGATGAGTTAAATATTAATATTAAGGGATATACAGCGGGCAGTTACTATTCTAGAAAAAAACAAAAGCGTGGTGGTACGTGCATTCTAACATATTGCGGAATTGACTGCAAACCAATAGAAGTATGTAAATAATGTTCTTGTGATAATATTTCTGAATGCTGCGGTATAGAAATCTCCAGTATAAATACAATAGTAATATGTTTATACAGGACACCTACATCTAACATTAATTCATTTTTTGATAAATTAGAAATACTTTTGCATAAACTAAGGTACAAAATTATAAATAAAAAATTCATAATAACAGGTGATTTAAACATTAATATACTGTTAAAAAATAAATATACAACAATTTTAAAAAACATTCTCTCAAATTTTAATTTAACTTTACATATTAACGAGCCAACACGAAAAAATAGTTGTATAGATCTCATAGCAAGTAATCACGAAGAAGCTTAAGGAATAGTACATCGGCTCTATCTATCTGACCACGACACAGCGCAAGTTTTAGAATTTCCAGGAAAGTGTGAGAAAGTCTCAAGTTATTGTTACGTTAAAAAAAGGGATTTCAGTGATGAAAACAAAAAAGAACATTCTATATTACATATCACAATTATCTTGGCATGAAGTCTACACGGAATCAGATGTAAATAAATCATTTAGTATTTTTCATCAGGAACTTACGAGGGCGGGTCAATAAGTCCGTGACTTTTTGAATTACTGACCTCTACTGAAAAAGCAACACTACTCCTGTCAACAGGCATCTGTCAGTTGACTCCTGTCAAAATTTGAACTTGCTGCGTCAGTTAGTTTGTGATTGACAGCTATCTTTATTAGACTACCCAGTAA